TCTCCCATGATTGTTCTCTCCAAGGAGTGTATCTACCTCAGGTAAATGTTCAACTCATATGCCTATCTTTTCTTTGTCTCTGCCTTATTTTATTTGTCTAAAATGATCTTTAATTTTATCTCACATCTGAGTTATAACCTAGTTGGCTGTAGAATTCTGGATTGACAGTTCTTTTTCTTTCAGCATTTTTGTTTGATTTCTTTCATTGCTTTGAAGAAATTTGCTATTAGTCAAATTGTTATTCCTTTTTAGGTAATATACCTTTTTCTAGTTTTATTTGATTTTGTCTTTGATATTCTGTTAATCTACCATGTATTGGCTTGGATTTATTTCAGTTTAATTTATTGAATTCACAACTTGTTATGGTTCTGGATACTACAGATGGGTCTCCAGCTATCCCTTTATTATCAGTGCTGGGATGCTTATGTCTAGGAGTTGGCTCTGTGTCTGTGGAAGCCATTGTTCCTGACTAAAGTGTCCCTTTTCCTGCCCGCTCCAGCAGCTGTTGCTGCTCCTGGGCCCAGTCTATAGAAGACGCGTAGGAGGCTTGTCAGGCGGGTGCCAGGTTTGGACCCATTTCTTCAGAATTTTTTTTTTCTCAATCATCACCATTATTGATTTCCAAAATGTTTTCATCAACCCAAACAGAAAGTCTGTATCCACTAAGCAGTAACTTCCCATCCCTCTCTCTCGCAGCACATAACACTAATCTTACACGTTGCCTATTCTACATGTTTCATATAAGTGCCTGTCACATTCCAGTTGAAATGTTTCTGCCTCACCTCCTGCCCCACACAGATCCTATGCTTGGGTAGTAAGTTGACTCTTAAAATTTATTGTGCCGTGGACTGCTTTTGTCTACATAGTTTTATCTAGTTGACCCTTTTGCTGAGGTTGAATCCCTTTTTTGTGTGTATCAGATTTCATAATTAATAACTGAGGGAGGGTTGGTTCAAACAATTAATTATGTTGTTACCAAAAGCTAGAACATTTATTGTTATTTTAATTTGTGTTTAGATTAAAGCTGATTCAAAATTTTTCTTTTATTAGCCATTTTTATTCATTTCATGGATTTTCTGTTAATGTCATTACCCATTTTTCTGTTTATATTTTTTTCTTCTATATCTGTAAGAGGAGCTCTGGTAGCGTAGTGCCTAAGGCACTTGATTGCTAACCAGAAGGCTGGCGGTTCAAACCCACCAGTCACTCCTCAGAAGGAAGATGGGGCAATCTACTTCTGTAGTGATACCGCCTCGAAAGCCCAAGGAGGGGTCGCTATGAGTCGGGCTGACTCCACTGCCCATAACAACAGCACTAATATCTGTAAGTTTTAATTGTTTATTGAAGGCAATAAAATAGGAACCCATTAGACATTGTTATTTTGAGGTGCAAATGAAGTGATTTGTGTTAAAACATAAGTTTCTAGTTTTATGGTGATTGTTACATCGCCCTTTGGTATTCAGTAGAGACGAGGTAAGGAGCATGTTCTTAGGAGTGATGTCACTGCATAGAGAAGCCTGTTGTTGTTATGTGTCATCGAGTCGGACCCGACTCATAGCGACCCCTCCTTGGGTTGCCGAGGCGGTATCACTACAGAAGTAGATTGCCCAACCTTCCTTCCGAGGAGTGGCTGGTGGGTTTGAAC